TCTGTCTCCCCGCCCAGGAGGAGGAGCGGCTGCGCCAGGGCGGCTTCCAGGAGCAAGCGGACAGGCTCTTCTCCGTGATCCTGGAGCTGGACCAGGAATATCACGGCCGTGGCAGGAACAGAGGCGGCTGGAACGGCAGGAATGCCGGCTGGGACGGCGGGGACAGAGGCTGGAACGGCAGGAATTCCGGCTGGGATGGCGGGGACAGAGGCTGGAACGGCAGGAATTCCGGCTGGGATGGCGGGGACAGAGGCTGGAACGGCAGGAATTCCGGCTGGGACGGCGGGAATTCCGGCAGGAACGGCGGGGACAGAGGCTGGAACGACTCCAGGAGCAGCAACCACCACTACCTGTGGATCCCCGTCGCCCTGGGCGTCGTGGCGGTTCTGGCACTCATCCTCATGTAATAGAAGGGGTTAAGTTTGTTCATAAAATCTTATGTGTACGAGGGAATAAGGAACTTCTGTTAGAATTCAACAAGATAAGTTTCATGGACATCCTGTTAAACAAGCAAGTGTCAGTAAAATTAATTGCAGACATCTCGCTAAACAAACAAGTATCGGTATTGGTAAAATTTACAGCTGATAAGAACTGCAGCTTTCGTCTCTGACAAATCCCAGATGACCACTTAGCAACGAGCCACGAACTCAAGCCTCAACGCAGCCGCATTCAAAACTCTTGGAAATGTATAAAAAGGGACATTTACTACATTTTTAGTGTGTGTGTGTCTCGGGCCACCCAGCGCTGTTTGCTTTATTATGGCTTGCTTAATAAATTTACCAGTGTTTAATTGGAATTGAGTTGTCTAAATTCTTATACGAACTTGTAACACTCCTTCCCCATTTAGGGACCCCCAGGAATTCGGGACAACCCTCCCTGGGGGGCAGGGACACCTCTCCTCTACCCCCGGGGGGGGGTTCCAAGCCCCGTCCCACCCAGCCTGGAGCTTTTCCAGGGATGGCATCCCATGAAAAGCGGAGTTTGCCCCGAACTCTTTGCGTTGGGTTTCTGTGCCAGCGCCCCAGGAGAGCCCAGACCCTTCGCCCAAATCCATCAGACTATCTCATGACGCTGACTGGTGTAAGATCCTCTCCCTTCCCTTTTGGGAGACAGTCACACACTCCTTCTGGAATCCCAAACTTGGGAATTACTGCTTTTCACAAAACCTTAACCACTGCTCTCCTCTGGTCGGTGTGGCCGGGAAAGCCCCTGGCCAACCCGAAAATAGGAATATTTGGATTTATTCCGTCTCATGACTCCGCAGGATCCATTTGCCAAAGTTCCTGGGGGGGTTATTCCTCGCTTTACACGCCCTCCCTGTAACTTCCCCCCCCCCTGTTTTTTTGACGATTTGCACAGCTGTCATCGTTCTGATTTTAGCAAGGAATTTTGTCTTTCCTTTCCCCTCCCCCCCCCTCGCGTGTGTGTGTGCTGTTAATGGGCCATCAGATAAAACAACGAGTTGGCCTGAGCCCTAAATGACCGAGACATTAATCTCCCAGCAACCAAGAGGGAGGAATTGAGGAAGGGTAGGATGTGTGGGTGGAAGGAGGTGGGGTTTGGGGGGTTGGAGAGCTCAGCTCTGGAGCCGGAGGGGAGGTTGCAGCAAACAGGAGAGACTGCCTGGTTTTCTTCTTTGTCTTTTGCCTGTCGGAGGAGAGGTTTTTTTTTTACTGCTGTTCTCTGCCTGGCTGTTGCTGGCTGCAGGCCTGGCTCACCGTGAAATTTTCACCAACTGAAAATCGTTGAGTTTTTTTTCTTCCATTGGGAGAGCTTTCTGTTTCCCTCCCCCTTCCCCCCCCTCCTCCATCACCACCCGGCGGCAAACGAGGATCTCCCAGCGCCGCGTGGTGACGGGTGCTGGACATTGCAAGTTCTCATCATCATGGCTGGGCTTCGCGAACAAAGATTAGAGAGGGGCTCTACCCACCCTTGCTACAAGCGCGCTGATGGCTCAAAAGGCCAATGGGAGAGAGACAAGTCCGGTTGCAGAAGGCGCGGCAGAAAGACTCCCCAGGTGATATCATAGAATCATCGAATCATCGAATCATCGAATCATAGAATCATAGAATCATCGAATCATAGAATAGATTGGGTTGGAAAAGACCTCCAAGATCATCCAGTCCAACCCCTGATCCAACTCCAATTACTATATCATGGCACTAAGGGCCACGTCCAATCTCTGCTTAAAAACCTCCAGGGATGGTGAATCCACCACCTCTCTGGGTAGGCCGTTCCAATGCCTGATTCCCCTCTCTGTAAAGAATTTCTTCCCAACATCTAACCTAAACCTCCCCTGGCAGAGCTTGAGCCCATGTCCCCTTGTCCTGGGAGAAGAGCCCAACCCCCACCTGGCTAGAACCTCCCTTCAGGTAGTTGAAGAGAGTGATGAGGTCACCTCTAAGCCTTCTCTTCTCCAGACTAAACAACCCCAGCTCCCTCAGCCTCTCCTCACAGGACTTGTGCTCCAGTCCCTTCACCAGCCTCGTTGCTCTTCTCTGGACCCGCTCCAGCCCCTCAATGTCCTTCCTGAACTGAGGGGCCCAGAGCTGAACACAATACTCAAGGTGTGGCCTCACCAGTGCTGATTACAGGGGAAGGATCACTGCCCTGCTCCTGCTGCCACACTGTTCCTGATGCAGGCCAGGATGCCATTGGCCTTCTTGGCCACCTGGGCACACTGCTGGCTCATGTTCAGCCTCCTGTCCGTCCAGTGGATGTTGAGGGTTGTACGGAGGCAGCGCTGATGGAAGCGTTCTAAGAGACACAAGTGGTGCCGGTAAATGACCCACGATTCAGATTCATATAAAAGATTAGACAGTACAATGGCTCTGTAAATGCTGATCTTGGTACTTTTCTTCACGTGTGTGTTTCTCCAAACTCTTTTATAGAGTTCACCAAAAGCTCTGTACGCCTTTGCTAACCTGTTGTCTACTCCTGCATCAATCTTCCTGTCCGAGGAGATGATGCTTCCCAGGTAATTAAATTCCTGGACTGATTTGAGCTCTGATTCACCAACGGTGATAGGGGGATAATGGGAGACTTCCCGAGGTGCAGGCTGATATAAAACTTCTGTCTTCTTCAAGCTGACTTAGCAGCGTTGTCACTGAGTAAGAATCTTCTGAATACTGACACTGGGCACACCAAGAGAAGTTTCAGAGCAGCAGCCGCCACAGGAAAACCAACCAGCCGCTATCGACACAGTTTGCTAACACAGCCTGAAACTCGGTGTTTTCCGTGACGAGTCAGCAGTCCAAGTTGGCTCCGATGTTTGGGGGGGTGTGGTTAATTAATTGTCGGCTCTTGTTCATCCCCTTCTCCCAGCTGTCCTGCACCTTAAAAACAAAAAGCTCGTAAATTTGTTATTAACAGTTCGGTTTTGAGCAGCTATCGCAGGTAATTTTGCGTTTTTTTTTTGTTTTTAAACCCCTGAAGGTTTCGTGAGGATTCTTTTGCGGCGCGATCAGAGACGGGTTCCGCGGTTTGCTCTTTGGAATATTTGGAATGTGATTCTACGATTCTATGATTTTTTTTGTGTTTTTTTTTTTCAATCCTGTTTTTCGAGTGACGCGGGTTAAAACCAATCCTATTCGGCGGCCTCAACTCGGTCTCTTAGGCAGCTGGGATTTACAAACAGCTAATTCTGCCTCTCTGCTGACATCACACACACCTTCCTGGGATAACAGAATATTTTGAGAGTGTTAATAAAGAACAGGAACCAAATTTCTCAGAGGGGTCACGTTTTTTTTTTTTTGTTTTTTTTTGTTTTT